TGCCCACAGCTGAATTTAGTACTCAAGTGCAAAAGCATTTAAAGTTTATTAGCTGGTTTTGCTGGCCTAAACCCAAAAATTTTTGATGAAATCGACCAGCAATCGGGAACAAACACGTCTAAACAATTTATCAGCTGGGAACAAAGAAGTGTAAAATGATGATAAGCAAACACGCATACCATCCACAAGGCGCACACGAATGACAGTGGCATCTGAGAACGAATTTTTGCACACAAACCATAAACCCATCAACATACAAGGAATAGTTTTAACTGCAATTTTAAGCACTCAAGGCATTACTAAATTTCACCAGATTTTTCGAAAAACTTATGATACTCAGAGAAACGGATGCTGGACAATCAGCTGTGGTACTGCGACCAAAGTTCTTATTTCTAGACTCAAAAGACTACTTATTGCAATAGCGAAAAATTCCATAAAGCAATACAGTTCCGTCTTGTCAATAACGCAGTCTATATCTCCCACAAAACAACTGCGTAATGTAATAAGATCACACAAAATACAAAAAATCTCTGTAAGGCGATCAACTTAACATCCCACAGTTTTCATGAAAAAAAAACCTTTAAAAATGTAAGATGCATTTGCGTCAGGACAATTCTGCGCCAGCTCCATCTCCTTTACTTTTGCCTCAAGTCTTACCGAAACTCAGCTTTTCAACGTAAAAAATTGCTAAGGAAGCGCTGCATAAATCAAAAAGCATCCGATATGAGCATGTGACAGCACGAACACAGCGAGACGCAAGTGAATCCCAGGCAAATCACACAATAGTTGTATCGATGGCTAAGAACCGAGAAAATGAAAACTGAGCAAATTTTGATAAATACAGTTATTAATGTTTTTTTATATGTGGGATAATCATCACAGTAGAAATGAATTCTAATCAAGCAGAAGCAGACAAATCCACTAGATGTATAAAGCAAGCAAAATTTTACAGGAAATTGTACTGGTACGGAATTTTTCCAAACTTTGGTAAAACATCAGCAGGTTTCATCACCATACCGTGCAAGTCCCCGAAGCTGAAGTGAAAGAATGAGGGCAAAGAAAAGCGAGCCACCCC